TCTTGGACAAACAGGCGCCTAAAAGATTTAAAGTTCTACCATATTTTATTCTTAGGATAGTAGGGAAGTTTTAGGGCCCCTTGACCTTGTAAGGGTCTGTTTTATTTCTTTATGGGGGTGTAATTAAGTTTTACAATCCGCTTGTTTTATTTTGATGTAATCACCCATTTGTTTCACGAATCACAATTATTTATTTATCACAACCACCGAATAATTCAGTCAACAACAACAGCAGCTAGGCGAGTGATTTCACACAGCCAAGAATTACACAAAACCAGTCTCTGTAGTCACCTTTCTGCTGCTCCTCTCCTCATTAAAAGGGAAAACTCTACCCTGTTTTCTGTTACAGCTACATGATGCCCATAGTACACACTGGACTTCTGATAAAGATTATCCTTAACCTTGCCAGTTTTCAGGAGAAACTTGCAGAAAAGGGCTGACTGCAAAATTTCTCAGTAAGGGGATTTGTGAGCGGCAGTCCAAAAACTGAACACTTTTGTTAAGAGCAGAACACCTCCATCAGGGATCAGGTTTCTCAACTGCTGGAATTACCCTTTTCAAAGATACAGAACCTGAAATTTGAACCCTGAGCAAACATCCAATCTTTTAATATTCATCCCAAATGTCTTGTCTTTCAAAGGAGCACCAGAGCTGTCTGACACCACTGACCCGAATGCCTTTTCCTCTGCCTGAGGCATTTGCACTTCACTCAGCACATCTTTCCACGCTTTTAAATAACAACAACTTGTTGCTTCTACTGATGTTACCATATGAAAGAAAAGTGGTGTCTTCACCAGGAAGTATTCCAGTGGAACAAGCTTCCAGTGAAGTGCATCATACTGACTCAAGAGATCAGGTAAATCTTAGTAGTTTGCTGCAAGAACTATCAGCACCATTTGGGATTTCAGAATATAAAAGCTGATGACCTAGCAAAGCCAGACGTTTTTTGTTGCACATTGTGTCCCTCTGAATCACAACTGTGAAGTGACACAAGAGAAGCTACCCGAGAGTGATGACTCAAAGATCCAGCCCTACAATTTGTTAGCAGAAACACCGTGACTGTGGTGCAAGAACTAGCTTGTACCTAGCCCTGTTCTCTGCAGAGGAAACTTTTACAACTGACCACGACTCTGCCAGGAACCAAAAAAAAGCAAACTCCCAAAATTTGCAGTGCCTTCTGATCTACAGCTAAACAAGCTACCATCATGATCCATGAACACTTCTCTTCTTGTCTCATTGCAGGACTAAATTTCCTGTTTTCTTTCTTAACACACATGTAAAATTAGGCTTCTCTTTGAGACATCCTCTCTCTGTCTTCACCTCCATTTCAAAGCAACCCTTAGCCAATCATGCTTGGAGTATATGACCAGAGGATTCCCAACCCCGAGGTATAAAATCTAATTTGTAAGCAAAGAGGAAGGGGAGGGATTTTATGTAACATCCAAACAACAAGAGTAATGCATTTATACAAAACAATTCCTTTATCGCTCCACACCACAGGCTTTTACAGCTGGCATCATATAGTAGTGGCATTGAACTTGGAGTTTAGGACTATAAATGTTTACACATGCTTTTATTTCCTATCCTGCTACCCTGACTTCTCGTTCCAGCAGTGGAGGGACTGGAATTTCCCTAGGAAAGAGCACGAGAAACATACTTTGGATACCATTTCAGTGAACACTGTAAAGAGTTCACAGCACAGGCCTGCAATTCTGAAATAGGATGGAAGCAGATGGCACCACAGCCTCTAGGTCACCTTATTTTTTATTTTTACTTCATGTGCTTCATACCAAGAAGACATATTTAAACTGAAAGCTACTAAAGTCTAAGGTTTTTACTGAAAGAAAGTAGCACAGAGCATATTTAGGCATGGAAAAAGAATTTCTGTTGTCAAATCTCTTTTGTTCCTTTCTCAAACCCCCTCAATACCTGTTTTTGTATTCATTGCCAAAATGAACTTGTTGTTATCCTTTTAGTAAATTAGGCATTCTTTACTAATTGCAGTACATACTCTTGTGAGCACTGGTAGTACTGGTGGCTGACTGGTTCTCAGCTAACCCTTTGCTTTTGAAACAAAAAGTTTTTGCGCAGCTTCCCTTAGTCCGTGAGTGCACGTCTAACACGGACTACGGCTTTTAAAATATGACTCATCTTATATTTCCAGATTTCAAACCCTGGAAGTGTATGCAACAGCCCAACTCTGAACTACCAAGCCCTCTGAGGAGGGAGAGACAAGAATACAGCAGAGCAAAAGCAAGCAGGCTAATTCTATTGTAAGTAAATTCATTGTTAAGCAGTCTGTTTGGCCCTGCCATTTGTCTCCTCTATTCTTAGGCTTTCTGAACTTTAGAACTTTTCCACAACCATTTTTAGCTTTACAGACACTTCCATTTTTATTTCATAAACCCAGCTGTGCACTATTGGCCTAATTCAGCGCAAGATCTGAAGTAGGAGGGATATTCAAATCAGCCACCGAGCCCACAAAGTAAACGAACCAGACCTTTGGAAAAGGAAATGCATGGTGAAATATTTCCTTCAGTCTCTTTTAACACTTTTAATTGCCCATCCTCCATAGCTGTGCCACCTGGATACTATATTTTTTTATGTTCTGACTCCACTGACCTGCCTCACAAAAACAAAAAGCTAGTTACCGAAAGCCTTTATAAAATCATGTTTGTTTTCAGTTGAACTATAACCTGGCCATTGCTAAAATGTGGCCCCACAAGGATTTAGTGGAATTCCTCCAAATTGGTTGGATGTATACCGCTTGCTCCTTTGCATTTCCAGCTGGCTCTTTATCCCGGCAAGCTCTTCACTGCAAATGGGACTCTATGGCTTTGTTCAAGATAACTGGACACAAGCAGATAGAGCCTCTTCGACTGCCTCTGGGGGAATATACTGCTACCTACGAGGAAAGCTTTTGTAGCTGTTCTGGAAGGAGGGAAAACCAGGAAGACTATGGCTGTTATCAGAAACAGAAATGCAAAAATAGTATAGCTACTACCTAACCCTAAGGGAAAGAAAATTAGCAACGAATAAACAGGTAAGAAACAACAACTGTTTCTCATTACTTATGCAACAGAACAAAAAAGCTATCTGGTTTCAGCTAGTGGCTACGTACAAAAGCAAAGCATATCTATATGCATAATATTTTTCAAATTGTTTTATCTAGAAGTTTGCTAGAGCAGTAATGCTGCTAGAGCACTCAAGCTCTGCAAAACTTTTTCAAGCTCTGCAAAATTTTTCTTTCTACAACAAGGCAAAGAGGAGAACCTGCAAGAGTGGAAAGGTAAGGGTGTAGAGAGGAGAAGCCACAATTATGGGAAGCACACAGCAATGCGGAGGTTGGCTTTGATGCCAGAATTTAACACACTCTCCCAAATGAGGTGGGGAAGTTCAAGAAGGAAAATAATTAAGTTTATGAAGAAAGATTCTAAGTGGTAGGCTTACAGGAGATAATCTTTCCAGCAACTGAGGTCACTCCTAACTCAGAAGATTTTTGTGGATGAAGGCGCATGTTTGGCATACCTATAAAGTAATCGACTAAGGAAATCTATTGCCCAACAGTGATATGCTCCTAACCATACAGGCACAGTAAATTGAAAACCTCTTAATTTACATCAGGCAACAGTTCCAGCACTCGGGTCATCTGCATAAACAACAATACACCTCTGCAATAGATGCACCAGGAGATTTTTATGCTGTGCAGCCCAAAAGTGCAGGGATGACCTACATGCTGTAAGAGGTGATTCTTGCCGATGCCTTCGGTGTTTACTCCTTCGACATTGGAGGAACTTCAAAGAACTTCAACCACCACGATATTTTTACCGTATTTACTCCGTATTACAAGACGAGTTACACGGGGGAAAGGAAACAAACCTTATTAGAAAAAACAAACAAACAAAAAAAACACTAGACCTATGAAACCATAAGGCCTCTGCAGATTAAACCTCGGCATCCTTACTTGGTTATTGCCGTGCGGAATTCCGATCTCTTCGGCAAATACAGGAACGGTTATTTAAGGATTCCCCAGCTCTCCCCGAAGCGCCGCGGGGCTCTCCCCGCCCGCCTTTCCCGTGAGGCGGCGTCGGGCGGGACCGAGCGCTCGCTGCCCGCCCCGTCCTGTCCCACCGCGCCCGGGGAGGCGGGCCGAGGGTCGCGGCTCGGAGCCGGGGGCGGAGGCGATGGCGGCGGAGGCCGCCGACCCACGGAGAGCCGGAGACCTGCCGCAGCTGGTGAGCGGGGCCGGCTCTGGCTCTGGTGGGGAGCGGGGCCGAGCTGGGGCTGCCCTGGCTGGGGGTCGCGGCCTGGCCATGGGTCTGCTCGCACGGCCGGGCGGGAGGGGCGGGCAGCCGGGCGGGCCCCCCCTTCTCCCTTTCCTGTCTTTATTTCCACACACCCACCCCCCTGCAGGCGGAAAATCTGCTGTGTCGGCTGCAGGAGAATTTTCAGGCTCTGACGGAAAAGTTAACGCTGAGAAATATCCTCTTTGGAACGCGGTGTAGTTGCACCGCCGGAAAGACTGCGGCTCCTGCGGCTGGGGTCCCGTATGGGGCGAGCTTTGCTTCTAACATCGGGATGGGCTTCTTTCCTAAACATCAAATTAACGTGTAATGATTGACGTTGCTAAACACCTATGATGTAAAAACAGCTGAATTGCCCCCCCCAAGCCCATTTATTTATCCCTTTTCTAAAGAAAGAAATCCCAAAAAAGGTTTTACTACAAGTAGCGAAGTAGTCTCTGTGCGGCAGTTGTTTCAAATAAGCATCAAATTATATGTAAAGATTCTGAAGGTACATTAAAAAAACCCCACAAGCATCTTCAAAAATGCAACTCAAATTAGCCATGTGGTGTTGGTTTGAAAACAGCTGTTGGCCTCCTGAGTGTGGCAAGGTGAGCCCTCAAAAAGAGAAATTAAGACCTGAAGGGGCTCTGCGCTTTTTCATTTGATATACTATACTTACAGAAACTATCTCTGCTTTCTGAAACTGCACATTTATTACATTTTTTCTGAAACTCGGCATTTCAGGAAGCAGCTGTTTTAGTGTAAGAGAAAAATAATGTTTTAGCAGCACTCGTATTCTGATTGTGTAGGTTGACGGTATGGTATCACCTAAAATAGTTCCTCAGAAAGAAAACAGTCTTTTAGACAGAAAATACTCCACTCCTGGATATACACAAAGGCTTTTGGTATTAAGAACTTGAGTGCTTGTCTGTTGCAAGAAAGTGGGATTGTCTTGTAACAATACAATCTTGAGCATAGTTCATCGGGCATTAAACGTGGATAAGTTAAGATGCTGAGACATCTGAAAAAAAGGTGCTTGTTTTTCTTACAGAAAAAAACCCTGTAAAATTATAGAATTCTTATTTATAAATAAGTTATCTTTAACTTTTTACTGGAAGAAATGGGTGAGCGCATCAATGACCTTGAGAAGCGTGTTGCTGACCTGATGACAGAGGCTGGGATAGAAGAGAACACTGATGAAGACTTGAGAGTAAAGAAACTTAATTAAGTGTTTATGTATTTTATATATTTCCACTTAATTTTGAATGATGGGCAAGAATTAGCATGAAAATAACGTTTACATATTTACATATTCAAAAGTGTACTTTTTAAAAACATATTTAAAATTATCTTGGATTTCTGTTTGCCAAGAGCCAAAGAATGCTACCAGTTTTACAAAAGAAAAGCTGCATCTTGCTGCGTCTCTTTCAGCTGAGTGCCATGTATGAGGGTGGTAGTGCAAACTAATCCCAAGTACGTAAATTGAGGCTGTACATTTGTAATGAAATGTAGTGGCTTAAAGTGCTCCTGCCCACCATTCCTGTCCCTCAGGTATGCTAACCTAGCTGACTGAGGATTCTCACTGGTATAAATTTATGTACATGTGCTTTTAAACCTGCTTCAGCTTCCCAGCATGGCTCAGAGCACACCTCTTACATGCACTCTTAGTATTTATGAGACGGCCTTGCTTCCCTGTTCTGTGGATGCAGGTGATGTTGTCTTCCTGTTGTTGCACACTTTCCTGATTCAAATTGAGACACATCAATTATTCTTGTGATTGAGACTGCTTACCCAGTGAAAGACAGAAACGTCTGTAAATATTCTGAAGTAATTTCGGCCTCTATTCATTGTGATGCCTTTTTTGTGATAAGCTATGAAATAATTTTCAGAAACACAGAAAGACAATCTACAAAGTTGTATTTAACTGTATAGAGATCTCCATATTTTCATGCTGAATCACATTCATGAATAATTAAATAACCTACTTACTCACTGTTTCTTTGCAGCATTGAAAGGAGGATGTGTTCAAGAAACACAAAAGCAGAACAGCACTGCATTGACTCCAGGAGTTTACAATCAGTGTCACATTGACAAAAAATGTAAAGAGAAAACAAACATGTTTGCATCATGTCATGACAGAATCTCAATTTTTTTTTTAAACTATTGCCCCAGGAAAAAAAAGTAGAATGATGGGTTTACTTATCTAAATGTGGCACTGTATTTCCTGGAGCTGAAAAAAGAACTGTTACTTTCAGAGAAGGCAAATCCACTATTTTGGATAAAGAACTAAATCCTATATAGTGAACTTATCCAATCACAAATTTTTGTAATCTATGAAAATGTATTTCATTTATTTTAATAATATTAAAATAATAAGTTTTCTTTGTTGCCTTTTTACCTGTAATGTTCCAGAATAACAAGATCCTTCTAGGACAAAAATTTTTATTTGCATGTGCCATCTTCTTGCTTCTTTAAATGTTTTACATCACAAAATGCACCTTATTTGATGTTACTACAAAGGTGCCTCAGAGGTCAAATGAATATAAACCATTCTGCACTAAAAGAAATGGCAGTATTTGCACAGAGTACAGATGCTCAGTTGTTACTCTTTTCACAAGCCCACCCAAAGCCACACACCAATGCAGATAACATCACCTAGGTATGCAGATTGTGCCCAATTTCAGTGCTTTCATGTCAGCTGTTTTAATGAAAGTTTATTTTATAAACTTTGAGGTAATGAGGAATTCTAGTTGTCAGATAATTCCTGAACACAACGTGGTAGAGTCAGAGAAAATAGGACATCTGCATTAATTTTAAACTTCTTGTACACCAAAACATTGCCACTCTGCAGGAAAGATTTAGCTTGAAAGGCAGTGGGAACCTTTTACCATAAATGCAGAAACTGAAGCATTGCCAGGTGAATATCTAATGAGGAATAAATGCATCTATTAGAGTCTTCATTAATATCAAGAAATCATTCCAATCAATGCTTTAGTCAGTGTAGACTTGCAAGTATTGTCACACTGGGGCTGATGTGCTGGAGGACAGGCTGGAGAAATAAGCCATCAGGAACCTCATGAAGTTCAAAGGCATGTGCTAAGCTGGGCTCTGGGACACAGCAGTTGTGAGGGGCTGGCTGGCACACTGCTTTGCAGGAAAGGAGTGGGGTCTGGGGGGTGACTGTGAGTCAGCAGGGTGCCCTGGCAGCAAAGGCTGCAGCCACTTGCTGGTCAGCATTAGCATAAGCTGAACCAGCAGGTCCTTCCCCTCATTCAGTTGCCATGAGACCACACCTAGAGCATTGTGTCGATCTGGGGGCTCACCAGGTCAAGATATCTGTTGTGAGGGAGTTACAAAAGAAAGCCACCAAGATACGGTGGAGTACAAAGCATACAAGGGTTTGAGAGAATTCTGAAATTCTGTTAGTTCAGCCTTTAGAAAAAACTACTGTTTCCTGCTGCCAACAACTGCCCCCTAATAAAGCATGGGGAAAACTTAGAGGACTCTTGGAGGTGTTTTACACCAGAGAGTAATTTGAGACAAGCTGAAACACAGAAAATGCCAGCTAGATACAAGGAACGTTTTTCTACTAGGAAGGCGCACTGGCAGCAGAACAGGCCTTCCGGAAAGGCTGAGGAATCTCCATCCTTAAAAGATCACAGAATCATCGGGTTGGAAGAGACCTTCAAGACCATTTAGTTCAAACAAGATACTTAACACTGGACACAGTCCTGGGCAACCTAAGCAAGTGGGACCTACTATGATTTGAGTTTGGTGGTCCCTCCCAACATAAATGATTGCAGAATTACCACTGTTGTATTGGGTCTAGCTGAGATAGAGTTCATTTCCCCATAGCAGCCCTCACAGTGCTGTGCTTTGCAATGGTAGCCAGAAAGGTGTTGGTAACACACCAGTGGGTGTTATAGGGTCAGCACTGTAACATTCCTTCCCCAATTGAGAGCAAGATCCTGGGAGGGGACATAAGTAGGCCAGCTGACCCATACTAACCAAAGGGATATTCTATACCATATGACATCAGCTCAGTTATAAAGGCTAAGGAAAAGAAGAAGGGGGGGCATCCATTATTTTACAAATATTGCCTTCCTGAGCAACCCCTCCGCATGCTGAAGCCCTGCTTCCCAGAAAGTGGCTGAATACTTGCTAATGGGAAGTAGAGAATACATTTTTTTTTCCCTCTTGGCTCATGTGCACACAAACTTTCACCTTTGCTTTACTAAACTGCCTTATCTCAACTTACGAGTTGTTTTCCATCTTGTTTTTTCTCCCCAGTCCAGCTGAGAAGGGGAGAGATAGAGTGGCTCAGTGGGCACCTGGCATCCAGCCAAGGGCAACCCACCACAACTGTAAACCAGATTAACTCCAGCAGGAATTGGGACCCTTGTGTTTTACTTCTGTGACTCATTCTAAATCCTCTAAAAATACGCTTGATGGTAAAAAAGCATATTCTGCTTTGTCTTGTGACAAACTGGACCAAAAAGTACAGGTATCTCATTTCTGCGTAGGCTGGTTTGTTTTTTAATTAATCCTGTAAATATGCATGTATCATGTTGAAAAACAAACTCCCACAGAACGCCAACTCCAGAAGTTGGCAGAAATGCAAATAGAAATTTCAAGAGTCATGCCACAGTGGAATCCAGTCCAAGTCTCCCAAGTATATATGCATTTTAGTATATCATTAGACAAACTGGAGATCAAGTGACAGAAAGCATGGCTCGTGGTTTCTTCAGCTGGTGGCTGTGCAGCCAGCTCCAGAACAGCAATTATGCTTTGGCTCTGTAGAATCTACTGAGTACTTTAAACTGCCTCCTCTGTGCACAACCACCATGTAAAAGGAGTCTGTCACCACAAGTCAATTAAGCTGATGGGGAGAGGGTTGTGTGCAAAGTCATGGAAGATGTTTTCTCTGAGTTGTGTCAAATATTAATTATCTGATCTTTGCTAAATATTAATCAACGCACCTTAGAGTTTTATTCCCATTTTTAGTGGAAACATAAGGCTAATATTCTACACAAGTAAATCCTGAGAAAACTGATAAGCCTTCATCTTCCAACATAATGGATTTGCATCCAATTACATCTGTGTTCATTCACAAATTTAATTAGCTGAAAAAAATTAAAGTGAATATGTGGAACTCTCACTTTATTCTTTTAAAAAGCTATCGTTTTCCCAGATATTTTTGTAACAAAAGCAGACAAAAACAGTCAAAATGTTTTTCTCCAAACAGGCTTTCTGTGTACAAAAATACATAATACCAAAAGGAGAACAAAGAGTAAAGTCTTTAAAAAATAAAACCCCAAAGTTCAGCTACAATAGTACTGCAGTCAAGACAGTCACAGGCTTTGAGTCTTCTACTTTTTAAACAGATTTTAAACCTTTTAAATAATTCAAATTATGCTCAAAGTTCAAGGATTTGTAGGGTTTTTTTTAATATACATATATGTACACACGCAATAATAAATTCAAGTGGATGTAGAGTTGAGAGAAAAGGCAGCCCAAAGAAACGTCAGTATCTGTATTTAGTAGAATAATCTTTTGGCGACACCACCAAACCTCGACCTTTGCGGGCTCCTCTATAAACAGTTTCTATAATGTCAATCATCTCTTGCTTATCTTCCATTGCCCAGTTGATCTTGTTGTTATTACCTGTACCTAAATCAATCATGATGTGTTTGTTCCTTTAAAGAGAAAGAAAAAAACCTCAAAGTTAATATGGCATTATATTTCAGAAATAAACTTTATATGTCTCTAAAATGCTTTGTAGGATTCAAAAGAAGCCTTTATAACATAAACAGGCTTTCAAAATAAGGATCCAAGAGAGAGTATCCACTCCTGTCAGTCAAGCTCACATTTTACTGCCAATTCCTAAAGCAACAATAAGGACAGCAATCATGCCGGCAAAAATGGCTACTCAGTGCAATTATCCTTCAGCATATTCCTCCTTGTTTGTATATTTCTTTCCCACTACTGTCTATCTCCAGAGAGACTTCTACGCTTGTCAGTAGGACATTTTATCTCATCACTGTAGATGCCTTAGCTCAAAAAAACCTTCATACTTTGGATTTATCTTTAAAGCAAATTTGACAAGCTTGACTGCCATACTACTACAACATTCTGTACGTGTTCTGAGATTTAAAACTAAAACCAATGGATAATAAAACCAGCTTTCACTAATCACTTATCACTAATTTGTACTCTTATCAACCACTGTTACTAGGCTAATTGAAAAACAAGCCATTTTCCTATTTAATCAGTTGACTCTTTTGTAAAGCAATGAAAATATAAGCATCAGTATGCTAATATACATTTAGAAATTATTTACTGAGATACTGTATTTGACAAACAAAAATGAGTTACATTCTAGAACCATTGTGTACCTGAAGAAAAACATGACAGTACAGGGATCGTACAACTCGTACATCTTGTTGAAGTCTGGTACTTCAGTGATATCCACAAGATAAATAACAGCAAAGTTTTTAACCTAAACAGAAGAAAAAGGAAATACAAAAGCAATATATATTACCAAACCTTTCATTATTGGTAGTACCGATTTAAACACATAAGCTTTCGTTATTGTAACGTTAATTTTCTAAATTATTAAGTCATAAAATGACAATAAACAGCCTTGCTTTTATTTTTAACCACTACAACCAATTAACATGGGAAATATTTTTAAATATAGACAAGATGCTCATTTCACATCCAGTATCAAGTGGAAAAATACTATGCTAAATCAACATCCAGAGAAACAAATGCCCTTTATATAGAGCTGAGACCTCACAGTGACATGCACAGCTGTAAACACATAGAATAACTGCTTTGTGCAAGCCGACACATTTTGCCTCTGTCATCAGCTGCTTATAGACTTCAGAAAATTAATGATGTACAAAGCCCTAGTGCCTGCCTCCAAGCATTTTTCCCCCTCTATAACATCAAGACTCGTTAAATATAACAAAACTCATTAAATTTAAATTAAAATAAAACTGATAATTTAATAAAAAAACCTGGTAGCTTTTTTTGAGAGGTGCAAAGCTAAAACAGGAGCTTAAAAGTGTAATTGCTAATGAAAAAAAGACCTTGATGAGAAGCTATTCTCTGGGCAATTCTGGCAAAACCAGCTTTCATTTTGCAGAGTTACTCAGTTAAATGCACAAGAATCCCTCCCCTTTAATGCCATAGTTAATGCCTTCATTCCTGCAAGAAAACCACATCACATTTTTGTTTCCTAGGTGTAGCATATGTAACCTTAAGTGGAATTAGGGGAAGTTTTGGTTTCTAAGCTTAGCTCATATATGTACAGCAGAAATTAATACACTCATACGCATTAAGTTATAAGTCAGCAGTCACCTAAATTACACAAACCTTTAACTGTAAGGTATATTATCAAATCTCGTGCATTATACCCTGACTGCACAACTGTGCCTCCCCATTCTTAATTACATGCTAACACAATTTTGGTCCTTCCCATTTGACTACACAGAATTACCAAGCTGGGGTTAAACACACATGGTCTAAGATCTATGGCAAACTTACTGTGACAGTTCATTTTCCTATCAAAAGTCTGGAAATGCAGTGATGAGTACAATATCTGCTTGATATAACAGTGTTTTAGTTCACAAAACAGGATTAGATTGTATGAGAAAAATATGATACACTGTGTACCCTGTACTTAGACATCTTAGCAGGCACTTTACCTGAGGAAGTATGGGGATGTTTGTTTGCAAAAAAACACAGAAGCACATAGTAAATAAATTTTTATGGACTTCCGCTTCAAGATGGTTTCAAAAGTATAAACAATAATCACACTTCAAAGATGTAAGTAAGTATTGCCAGCAAAGAAAGTAAAATCTCTCCTGAAGTGAAACAGCATTTAAATAGTTTTTACTGTGCTTTTATGGAGCCAGTTGTAGTCCTAGGTTCAGTCAGTAATCTAATGAAAACATCCATTTAAGCCACATTCTAAATCTAAGGCAAGAGGTAAAGCCTTATAAACTCAAGTTAGTCATAACATCAAACCTTCTGAAGGAATCCTTCAAGCCCATTTCAATTTTATATTAAAGGCTTCTAAGAAGCTTAATGGGATGTTCAGAGAAGTGACTGAAGTTACTCCCTGGTTCGCCTTAGCAGGCAAAAGGCAGTTGTGGGGTTTTTGGTACTTTTTTAAAAAATAAAACACCCGAAGAGCTGTTTTCATTTTATCCTATCATTTCTTCTTCCACACTTCTGGATTTTTAGCATCAGCAGCACATCTTTGCCACAGGGGAAATTTCTACAACATATTCAGCAATTTTGACAAAGCAAACAATCTTTGAAAAATTATTTATTTTGGCAATTAGAAAATATTTTTAGGTAAATCTATCATTAACAAAACATTCTTAAGACCTGTTTTGTTCACTGAAAGATTAGTCCAAGGAGATTTACATGTTGCACCAGACTACCACTACAAAAGCACTCTTAAACCAAAATTTTACTTCAAAGAACTGTGTACGCCAGATAGTACTGCAACAAAGAACCTTTAAAGTTAGTTTTATATTATACACATTTAATTTAGTTGAGCTGTTGGTGAACCAGAAATGCTTGTCTATAGCAGTGAACATCAACAGCCTAAGATTTCATAAGAGAAACAGACTATCCAAGTCTTAAACAAGTTATTATATAAATCTTACTGAAAAGGACTGGATCACTCAAATCACCTTTGCACAGGCTATGTCCAAGTTATCACCATAATCCAAATATCTAAGACATTAACTGAATCTTCCTTCTCTCCTACCTACTTTTATAGAAGTGAAACTGATGACAGTCGCCTGCTGAAAAGCTCGTAGCCTAAAGCAGACCTTAAAGCTGGACTCCGAACTTTAGAAGTGGCTCCATTCTTTACCACTCGCTTTCTTAATTTCAAATCTGACAAGATTACCACTCCAAAATGACTTAACTTGCAAGCCCATTGAATAAGGGTGTGTTTTGTTGAGTTTGGACACTGGCTGCCAAGGTTGCTCATGACATGGGCCTTGCACTCCAGTGCGTGTAGCAGCAGGAGGTTGGGATTCAGGCCTAAGAAGGAAGTAGATAAAAACATGGGCAAGAGGCTAAATATGGAGAAGGTGATGCAGAAGTGCTGCAATGGCCGCATCTACAATTTGGAGGCCATGCCAGACTAGGCAAGCTTGTCACCAAGAGGCATTTATTTCAACATGAGACAAGCCCTGCAGAATTACTCAAATGTCTCTCTCTGCACGGTTTTGACAAGTTTTACAGCCTGAAGCAGCACTTACTGTCTCAGACACAATACTGGAGACAAGATAGGAGCAGTACACAGCAGCATCTGAGCTGGCTTCACACACAGTCAGCTCTAATTCACAAAGCTTTAGTTTAGGCTTCAATTTAAGCAAAAGATATTGAAGTATTTATGGATTCAGGCTGGTATGGATGCAGGAGTTGATCCATACTTGAGCTACTAAGCATGTGGAGACAAACAAGGTTAACCACTCCCTGTTGGGACTTGAATCCATCGCTCAGAGAGAGTTGTCAGTTCAAAAACTACATTCCTATACAGAACATGCTTTGCTGTCCTGTCAAGGCAGTGGTTGCTAACAAGTTTTCTTTCTGATTTATGTTGTGACTGAGGATATGGTATGGAGACCTTAGAACAAGAATTAAATGCAACTCTGAGCAAGCAAACCTCAATAAATAAAAGCAGTTGCAGTTGTAAGAATGAAGACTACACTGAGGTTGTTAATGTAAACCAAAACTTTACTGTACAGACAATATGCAAAAAACTTTGTGGTATTTTAGAAGTTGAACATGTAATAACACAATTTTATTCTGAAAGTACTTAACCTCATAACATACACTAAATATAGTAAATTTTTTACAGTTAAGTATGCTACATTCTGAAACAAACAAAACCAGAACCTCTAGTGAGAGACCTCCTTTTGGACACCACCACCACCACCTGAAGATAAAACCATTTTCAGCAGCAAAAAAGAGACAGGTACTAACTATGTCTGATACTCTGACCTCCTTTATCTGTTTTTCAATTCAAAACTTTCTTTGTCTTTCCAGGCCATTGTAGCTGCTGTTCATGGGGACAGGATAGAGTAGGAAATTAAGTCAGAGTGGGAAACTAAGTCAAAGAGCAATACAGATTCAAAATTTTATTACTTCCTTTCAAGGGTTTGGGTTCAATTTTGCTGGTTGGGGTTTTTTCTCCCTCTAGTTACAGTAGCTTCATAGATCAGTCTACATTACTCATCGTCATGGCTGGGCTTCGCGAATGAAGATTTGAGAAGGACTCTACCCACGCTTGCTGCAAACGCGCTGGTGGCTAAAAAGGCCAATGCGAGATAGACAAGTCCAGTTGCAAAAGGCACAGCAGAAAGTCTCCTTAGGCGGTATTGGCAAGACAGGATTCTTTCTGCATTGTCTTTTCTCCTCAAGAGTGATTCTGCGTGTGTTCTCAAAAGAAGCAGCAGCGTTACGTATAATGTCTCCGTGTCTCCCAATTGGAGGCCAGAGTAGACCAGTTATGATGATCAATATGGCCAAGGCTGAGATGTTGTTTCAGGGAGTCCTTGTATCTCCTCTTCAGGGCTCCTCTCTTGCAGCAGCCGGTGGCAAGTTCACCATAAAGCAGGATCTTAGGGAGGCGGTGGTCCTTCATCCTTGAGACGTGTCCTGCCCAACACAGCTGTGTTCTCAGTAACATGGCCTCAATACTTGTGATTGCTGCCTGTTCTAGAACAGACGCATTAGTCACATAATCTGACCAGTGGATGTTTAGGATTGAACGGAGGCAGCGTTGACAGAAGCGTTCTAGGAGATGCAGGTGGTGGCGGTAGATGACCCATGATTCAGCCTCATATAAAAGAGTAGACAGCACAATGGCTCTATAAACGCTAATCTTTGTACTTTTCTTCAGGTGTTTATTACACCAAACTCTTTTATGGAGTTTTCCAAAAGCTCTATAAGCCTTTGCTAACCTGTTGTTTATCTCTCCGTCGATCTTACCGTCCGAGGAGATGATGCTCCCCAGATAATTAAACTGCTGGACTGACTTGAGCTCTGATTTGCCAATGATGATATGGGGATGATGGAAAACTTCCTGAGGTGCAGGTTGGGAGAAAACTTCTGTCTTCTTCAAGCTGACTTCCAGTCCAAAAAGCTCAGCAGCCTCTGCAAAGTAGGATGTTAAACGCTGCAGAGCTGCTTCTGTGTGAGCCACAAGGACGGCATCATCAGCAAAAAGCAGCTTCCAGAAAAGATGGTTTAAACTTTTCAGTCACCTTAGGTTGAATAGGCTTCCATCAGTACAATATCGAATGTAGATAACGTTTTCTTCATCGAAGTCCGCCGTGGCCCTTTGGAGCATCACACTGAAGAAGACTGTGAATAGAGCTGGTGCAAGAATGCAACGTTGTTTCACATCATTGGTTATTAGAAAGGGCTCAGAAAGTGCATTGCCATATCTGACTTGGCTGCACTGATCCTCATGAAGCACAGTGATCATTTTGAGGAACTTGGGGACATTACTCAACACACATATAGAAAAACCAAAAGTACATTATTGCCTAGCCACAGTTACAGGCTATTTTAATACTTCACAGAACTGTATCTGCTTGGGGACTACTATTAAATATTTAAACTGAATGGCTCAAGACTATACAGCAGAGGAATCTATAGGACCTTTAACATCAGGTACAGATTCTGTATCCTATCTTGTTGAAGACCACACACTTTGCTGGTATACAGGAAACACTGATGTAGGAAAAATCATATGCCAGTATTATCTGTCCTCTGAAGTTCTCCCTCCTGACTTTCTTCAATAATTATATCATTCTAAAAAAATATTTATGCATTCCTACGAGATGACATTGACATGGAAATCATTAATGACTGGGATGAACAGCAAAAATCATGAAGTTTTCTGAAATTTCTGTCAGAGGTAAGTAATACTCTTCTTTTTTTTTTTTGGTTAAGATTTAAGCTGCCCTTGCAAAGCAAACCTTACATCCCAAACCGCATACAGCAAATATCTCAGAAAAACTGAAACAAGATTCCATCTTTTCATTTTCCTAACCAGTTTCCAGACAATGTTTTTTTCTGTTTACATATTTTATGGACAAGGAACTTACAGGAAAAAAATACAGGAACTGAGACTAGCTTTTGCAACATATCATTCAAGTTGAAGGCAACTAGCAGACTAGCATTACTGAACTCAACAGAGTAAGTACAAACTTAAAAGTCTGTATTGAATCTTTTTTTCTTGCTAATTATGCTGTAAGTTTAGGTGATAAATTGCTACAGGAAAAGAGAAAGACATTATACCGCCAAGAGCAACACTTACAGCAAATAATTTTGAAAACTACGGACATCAGTAAATGGATTAGCCTTGCTCAACTTTAATTACAAAATCACCAGTAACTACAATACCGATATGCTTTTTTTATAGCTCCCTCTTTCCCTGCCCCACATTGTTTTCCTCTCTCACTTTCCATGTAACCTTAGCAGAAATGCAGAGGTACAATTAATGTCTGAGAAAAAGCCACAGCTTCTCACACTTCTGATTATGGTTAAATAAATGCTCAACATTTGAATAATCCTCCCTAAACCCACACTGACCCAATAAAACAGTTATCTGATTTACAGTATTCAGTCATAGATAAATCATGGCTTATCACTTAAACAAGGGGTATTAATTTAGCGAACAAAGCCCTGTATTTCAGGGGATGGGTTTTTATAATTGTGAGTTTCCTTTAAAGAAAAAAAAAAAAGTATATTTTGAAAAAAAGTGTTCAAGAGGAAACTTGTGGAACTCAATTCATACATGTTTGGTTGAAACCCTGACAAGGCAAAAAATCTAACATCTTACAATTACTGTTTGTTTTGACATTCAGTGAAACCTTGCTTCTTCTTCATGTAACACTGGGGGGAAAAACAGTCAACGGCAAGTGGAGTACATTTCAGTGAATATAATCTACTTTGTATTTTCATACAGCATTCCAGTTTCCTCCTCCCCAAAAGGATTCCCGTTTTCCTATCATAAAGTACAGATAAATATTACTGCTACCCAAAAATATGCTGCACTCTAAAAGAATAATGCACCATGGTAACAAATGTAAAATATGACTACATTGGCTTTGAATTTCTACTGCAATTACAGCACGTTAACATTCTGAATTATTCTCCAGTATAAACACCTGTACAATTGGAACTTTTACTCACTCTTTAAAACAGCAGAGATCCAAACATGGCTTGTAAGCAAGAGGATGAGGAAGGATCTCCCCCTTTAATTTGCCATTTCTGCAGAGGGAGATTTTTAAATAAGAAGTTACATTGTTCTTTCTTCCCCCAGTCACCCCTAACTGCCAGCATGTCTGCCAAATTGCCAAGCATCCTGCCACAAGTCCATACTAACAGTATCTGAGCATAAAACACCCCCACCACACTGAACACAAAACAACTAAACCAAAACATGTCACAACTCCTTAGTGTATTCTATTATGTCTTAACACATGGCTGGAGGTATAGATCTTTCATTGTGGGGAGTTTCAAGACACAAGCTAATTTATTTAAAAATAACATCAGAAGACAGTGGAGTACACCACAAAAAGAATACCATATCAAGCTATGCAGCATGCCTAGAATTTTATATGAAGGCAGCAAAGTTGTGGATGTCCTATGCTGAGAAGTGTTCAAGGCCAGGTTGGATGGAGGCCTGAGCAACCTGGTCTAGTGGAAGGTGTCCCTGCCCAGGGCAGGGAGGTTGGAACAAGATCTTTAAGGTCCCTTCCAACCCAAACCATTCCATGATTTCTATGATAGCTGACATCTTTTCCTACCCAAGTTACCATTTATGGCTCAGATTTTTTTGCTCCTTTTTTTCATGTGGTTCAGTTATAGAGTTATAATTTTCTACATCTATCGCTATGCAAAACCTTTAGCAAATATATGAAAAGGTAACTTCTAGCTGATTGTGTATTTTAACAGTCTAATTTTTCTTCAGTATCTTTAAGTGACCAACCAGCTGTCAGCAAGCATTCAGTTTCCATCTGAAAACAGCTTTAGAGTTTGGCTCCTAAAATTTAATTCACTTCATGCAACTCAAGAGGAATGCTATCTGTCTCCACAAATATCACTGATGGATTAATCAGAATAATAACACTGACAAATTAATCAACACTATCCTGTAAAGTTTAGCACCTCACCATTTTTAAGAGCCAAAATGAAAGTAGCTTTCCAAGTTATTCAAATGGAAACTTGAAGCTGCTATATATTTTCATTGCAAGTGAGAGCGCCGCCTTACCTAGAGCCACAGCCCTACCATCGAGCACCTGTTCTCGCTTGAATGCTGTCGTTCATACAATGATGGGTTATTAAAAGGCAGCGATCTTGATTTCAGAAATCTTGTCACCCCGTTAAATACTGCAAACATCAGGTCAGTCAGTGACTCTAGGAGACACTCACGAAAGCAAAACAAACAGCTTTCCCACTGCCTCCTGGAATACCTTTCCAGAACCCGAGTTATATACAATCTGCCCCGGGCTTCGAGCAAGCCATGGGGAACACTGAACGCAGAAGGCGCAGAAATCTCCAGTTTACCTTCTCGGCGATGCTGTACAGGACCTCGTCCATCTTCATGCACGTCGGGTCCCAGTCGTGCCCGAAGCGGATGACCACGACCCGGTCCTCCTCCGACAGGATGGCCTGGTCCACCTGCCACCCGTTGTGCAAGTGCGGCAGCATGTACGACATCCTGGCGGGCGGATGGCGAGCCTGCGGGACGACAGGAATGCCCCGGCTGCTGACAGCCCGTCCTGGTTCCCGCGGCACCCACAGCCCCCGGACCGACCACCCCCACACCCCCCATGGCGCCACCTCGCCGGGCCCCGCGGCAGCAAGGAGTCCCCCCGCCCCGCCCCATCCATCTCTCCGTCCATCCCGCCGCGCCCCGGCCCCAGCGCACCCCGCGGGCGACCTTTCCTCGGAGATACGGGTGGCGGGAAGCGCCGGGACGGGTCGGGACGGGAAGCGGAAATGAGGGATGGGGACGGCGCAGGCACATCCGCGCTTCCGCCCCGCCGGAGGGCGGGACTTCCCCCTTCCCGGACCGGCAGGGGCCCCGTCTGCCCGAGCAGCCCGGTATCCAACCGGGTGGGTACGTGGTGCTGCCTGTCTGCTGGCCAGGGCCTCGGGAATCGCCCCTCGCAGGTGCGATTTGGAGCCGTGCCATGCGGATCGGTGCGGCCGGCCCGAGCAGTGCTCCTGGGTGGTACAGGGAGGATGGATGGGGATCATCAGAGCCCCGACCTCCGTGTCTCTGCTGCTGGCCACTCTGCTCTGTTAATAAACTCCCTGTGTCTCCATGGGATTCGATCAAGGAGGTGTGCCCAGAGAAGCTGTGGATGCCCCAGCCCTGGAACTGTTCAAGGTCAAGTTAGACGGGGCGCTGATCAATCTGGTCTAGTGGCAGGTGTCCAAAGCAGGGGCTTTGGGACTAGATGATCTTTAAGGTCCCTTCCTTCCAACCGAAACCATTCTATGATTCTGTTATACTGCAACAGAGAGAGCAGCTGCATGCATCTCCTGGTTATGGAAGACTTCTCTCAGTGTGTTAACCCACAGGAATGAAAATTTTCATGCACTCACCTCTGATACACACACACTACACACAGAACCGCCCCCAGCAGTGGCAGCTACACTGCCCAGCCCCTGGCAGATTCACCCTTGCATGCCTTTAGTGCTCTCTCATCTGTCTTGCAATCAAAATGCCAGTACATGAGCACACTGGATAAGTGTTCCAGTGGAAGTGATCAGCTGAAACCAGCACGTTTCAGCATTAGCTTTCAGAATCGAGCTGGCCATTGGGATAGGGCATCCCAGGCCACTCTGTTTGCTTCCTGAGAGGCGTTAGATCTTATTCTACACTGCACACTTCTTTAAAAGCTTAGCTTGCAGCAGACAGGGTGAAAACCACAGTTTCCACTATAAAAAAACCAGTACGAGCTTGAGCTTGAGCTGTGGGGAACAATGTGAATTTGTACCAGATAACTTTGTCCCATAATTGCAGAGCTCTCAAAAAACTATCAAAGTCCTCCTTTGGCTTTATCTCATTTCTAGGAAGTCCAGCGCCGGGGGCGGGAGAGGAGACGAAAGGCAGCCTGGTCTGATTGCAGCCAAGCAGAGGCACCGGCGGGCGGTGCTCCGAGTGCCGGAACTTCCTTGGAAGCCGCCAGCTGCCGGATCGGCGGTGGTCGGGCCGGGCAGGGCAGGGTTAAGCGAGCGAGGCTGGACAGGAGCGGGTGTGCCCGGCCGGGAGCAGGAGCTGTGAGCTCTCCGCTCTTCCAGCTGCCGCAGGATCGAGCTGTGAAAGGCAAGTCGTAAGAAAGAAACCATCCCTGGTTGGTGCTTTGGTTGTTGTTTAGGTAATTAGTCACCTTCTTTAGAGAAGTTAGCGGGAGGAATTGATCCTGGATAACGCATGCTGTTAACTTTAATTGAAAACAGAGCTAGGAAAAATCATGTAGGTTTGTTTTGCTGTGATTTAGCAAAGTCCAAAGTCATACAGCAGTGCCAGCCAAGAAATCTGCAAGTAAGGAGCGACTCAAGCTTCACAGATGAAGTAAGGCCTGCTCAGTTAGCACTAAAATGAATACTTTAATGCAGTACTTTTTGTTTGCCCAGTTGTCTCAAACTAAGTAATATTTTCAAAATTTTCTCCGCAATGCCAGGACCAGAACTTAGTTCATTTACATTATATCACGGTGTTACATAGGGTTAGTATTGCTTACATACATAGAAGCATATAATCTTACATAAATACAAAATATGAGGAGAGACAGTTTAAAAAAAAAAAAAAAGGGTGTTAGTGGTACTGCAAATGATACTAGTGCAAGACCAAAATTGTCATATCCTTGACAGGTGTTATATTTAGCACACTGGACAAGACATCTGATAATTGAATAACTATGTTCATGAGCAAGGCATTCAATCTGTTGAAACCGATTCCATTGATGTCTGGCCAGACAAATTTGGCTTACAAATTTATTCATCTTGTTGCTTCTCATGGACGTCGCTGTCACAGAAGTGTGATTTACAAACAGAGGTACAGGACATGCCCATGTAGTGCTGGAAGACGAACAATAAGTGCTGAGACTAAGGTTGGTATCTGGAGAGCCCCCTTTCTTCTGCAAGGTTCCTTTAAGTGTTTTTAGTTTACTGCTATCAGTATAATTTTTTAAGATTGTACCCAGTATTAGCAGAACATCAGTTCTTGAACCAGTGCTGCAGCCTATTAATGGTTCACGTGCACATCAAACACAGCTGAAATGGTGGCGAACTGAGCATACCCACAGGAATGAAAAGATTCATTACATGCAGCCAGCCTGTTTCTAGTTCAGCACTGTTTCTAGTGCACCAGCTGTTTGTTTAAAGCTAGTGGCTTCCTCCCTCGTGGATCACCTTTCTGCTTGTGCAGTGTAGGAAGTGCTTCTAAAACGAATACAGTTCTGACTCTACCCTTCATGGAGGAGGAAGTGGTGATGAAAGCAAATGGTGTAAAACATCACTCTCTTACTGGCATGTGCCACTCAGTTGATGATATCTGGTGCCCAGTTTTCCACCACTGTTAACAGCATACAGGTTAATTGCCATCTGGTCTGAGTAAATTACTGCAGGAGCATCAGGTTTTGATCAAAAAGCCGGACAATGCTGTCACAATATGACATCGTATTGTGATTTTATTGTATTGTATTTTATTCTATGTGTCATTCATTCTGGAGGATGAATCTAGTTTATCCTTCTAAGGTCATGTTGTGTGATACTCTCAGAAATATAGACTACATCTGGGAAAATTTGAATTTTCACAACCACATGGGGCTAACAACTTAAGTTTGCAAAAAATAGATGATATATATTTCAGAACATGGTTTTCCTTTGCAATTTGGTTGCACTATTCATCTCATTGCCTTGTTTGCTGCTGTTCAGAACTAGGTAGTATTATCAGAGACATTGTTTATGATGAATTGCAGACCTGTCCTAACACGGAGACGCCTTCAAGCCCATGTACAGCAGCAGACTGGAACTGAGGAAGAAATGCAAGTCAAGGCCAGGATAAAGCAGCATTATTATAGATTGTAATAATCTTACAATCTATTACAATTGTAAGATTGTAAATGCTTACAATCTCTCAGTGTTGAGATTGTAAGCATTTAATAGTTGTGGTTGGGATAAGTCTGAGTTTGCTCAGGACAAGGGTAAATATGGTTGACAAAAACTTCCAATCTATGCTGACACTTTTTTGTCACAGTTTTGAATTCTGGTTACTTGCAGAAGGTTTTTGTGAGAGGACTGAAGCAGCAGGATATCTCTGCCCAGTACTGTGTGCACAGAATAAATCATCATGCGGGGGAAAATTGTTCTGATTCAGTTAGGACAACATCAGGTTTTCTGCACCCAAGCATAGGACATAGTATGAGATGGAAACTGAACATCAGTGGAGCACAGCAAGCAGAATTGTAGGAAATTAGGCACAACTATTGTTAAGATATGCAGCAAATCTTCAACTACCATTTTTATCAATAAGGGCTGCCTCTAATTAGACGTTTGGTTATCTGTGGAGCTGGTATCATCTTATTGCAGAATACAGTACATTTGCAGGAGTGTGGTAGAGAGAACTGGGCTCTGAAATGTCTGCGAGGGAGAAAGTTCTAGTATGAAGGACTGTGTTGTTGGTGGGAATTACGTTATTACCTCTAGTGCTCTTCCCCACTGGTTCAGCATATAGGCATGGGTGTGCTAAATTTTACACAAGTTCAGGTACAGATCTGGATGTTTAAAACACTGAAAGCAAGCAGTCTAGCAGCTAAGGATGGCCCTTCATCATGCAGATTTGTTAGAGCTAAACCATTCCTGACAGATGTTTGTCAGACCCATCTGGGGCTCAGTGCCGCCCTACAATACCTGCAGCTTCACCAACCATTAACCAATAGGCAAGAAACCGTGAGCAGCCTCTGTTTCATACCACTGTTTATAGAAGTGCATTGGTAAGTAAGGTTGAAAAGCTGCCAGATTTGTATGAAATCAGTATTGAGTCAGGACTAAAATGAAACTATTTGCAAATAACATTTTGTAGGACTGGATTTTGATCTAAGAGTGCGGGTATTCCTTGGTGTTGTAGTCTAAATCAGCATTTGGGAAAAGTACTGGGAAATTGTCTGATGCACCACATTAGTACCAAGTGACTGTGGATTAAAAGCAGTATTGAGTTCCATCAGTTCCTGTTTTACAGATGTGAATTTAAATGATCACTATCTCATTGCTCCTTTAAGGGTGTTTTCCTGAACAAAGGAGTGTCTCTTCTATTCCACTGTTGCAGGTCATGGCAAAAGAAGAGTTGCCAGGCGTTTTGATTCTGGATATAGGAGGAACTCAGGGTGTGCTAGAAAACCTTGCAGCGCTTTTGAAGAAACACTTTCACCTTATCACCATGAAGGAATTTCTTGAAAACAAAGAAGAAATGAGCAAAAAAATCCAATCTGTTTTCGTGTTTGAATGCAGGCCAACTATTGACCGTGAGCTTCTAGAAAGCCTGCCTAATTTAAAGGTAATTGGAAATTCTGGAGTTGGAGTTGATCACTTAGACTTGAAAATGATCTCTAGCTTTGGAGTAAAAGTGACCAACACCCCCCATGCCGTGGCGGACCCAACAGCGGACATAGGAATGGCCTTGATGCTGGCCTCTGCCAGAAGACTAGTAGAAGGTAATGTTTTTGATTTTCCTGGATCTAGCTACTTCTTTGGCATATCTCACTTTTGCTATGATTCAGATGATCTATCTAAATCAATATTTGGGATGCTTTTACGGGGATAAATTTTTGGAGGCCTCAGTTTTCAGAGGCATCTGCTCTTCATGTGTCCATCTTCTTTTTAAGGCAACTGTGACTAGACAAAGGCCTTTGTCTAAATTATGCACTTTGAAGTCACTTGTGATATGCTGTTTGGAATAATGCCTGGGGATTAATTCTCCTCTGGCTATTCACTGGGTGGGTTGTTTATAGCTGTAAAAAATGAATACAG